CTAGAAACACACAGCGTCTCCCTGACATGCTGCTTCAACACTATCTGCGTTACTGAAACCACACCTTCTTTCTTTGCGTGCACATTTGGGCGCATTATGCAAATATTTCCACATAGTGAGGTAGATATGTGGGGGCGTGTTAGAAGGAGCCGTTTTAGGGGGGCGTGGCAGAGTCTTAACTTTGATAAAGAATATCTCTTTGGTTTTGAGACTTTAGTCTTTGCAACTTCAGGGATCTCATCTATGCACAATCAGCTTGTAACACTCCAAAGAGAAAGGAAAACTTGAAATCGCATCATATGACCCCTTTAATGTTTTTATATTTTATTTTATTTTTTAAATATATATTTCACCCCAAAATATTTTTTTGCTTTATTTACATGCATTTAAAATTCATTCATGCATAAGTTGCTCATGCATAAATGTAAAATTCATCAAACTCATTCATGCAACCGGTCAATTTTTCAGTATTTAAAAAAAAAATACTTAACATAATTTTTAACACCATCAAATAAGTTTTTTCATTAATTTCATGCAAATTGTCATGCTTTTTTCTTTTTTTTTTGTCCCACTTAATTTTGTGGTGAAATATGACCTGGATGTTTTTGTGAGATTCACCCTACTATGGCATATTAGATATTTTAAAATTTTGAATCTTGTTTTAGCTTGCGGCTTTGGACTTCCCTCCCAAAAAGATTTTTGGAAACCGAGACGAGAGAATGGTTGCGGAGCGCCGGAATCTGCTGGAGGTAATCAGATGGGTTTCCAATCCATCACTTTTGAACGAGAAACCTCTGAAGATGCTGATGATGTCATTGTGTTTTCCCAGCAATACCTGCAGAACTTCTTCCGTGTGATGATGTCACCCTCCTCCTCTTCTCCTCTGAGAACAGACGAGTTTGGACTACACCTCTCAAAACACTCCGTGTGCAGCATCTCTCCTTTCTTTAAGAAGGGAGTGTTTGACTACAGCAGTCACGGGACGGGCTGAATCACACACACACACACACACACACTCCAGTACAAAAAACACTAATTTACATAAATACAAACTGAGACAAAGACATTTCACCTTAAAATCAAAAGGAAAAATTATATAAAATAAATTATATTATGCATAAAGAAAATCAAGCCTGATTTTGGAACCATAAAGATTTTTGCATTGCGACATTATTTTCATGGCAATTAAGCACATTTTTCCAAATCAATTTCTCGTAATATTATACATTTTGAGTTTTTAATTCTGAGGTTTTGCATAGTTGTGGTTCTCATAGTAATACAGATATAAAAAAAAAACAATCTGTATTCAAGTTAAAAATATTTTTTTATTATCATAAAGAGAAGTAGCATAAATATATAAAAAAACTAGTACAACAATACTGCCATGATGGATAAATTCTTTACAATTTAAATAAAATATTATTGTTGCCATGAAAATAATATCATAATGGAAAAAAATACTATGAATACAAAAATAGGCTTTTTTTTCTTTATACTTTGAGGTGAAATATGACCTGGATTCATTCAGACACTAATGAACTCGCTCAGGAAAGTTTGAAATCAAGAGCAGGAACGGTAGAAATAATAGGAAGAAAAGAATCCAAAGTAGATGTAAATAATTTAGTTGTGCCTTGTTGGCATTGAGCTTTAAACACTTCAAAGAATAGGAAATCTGGACTTAATCTGACAACAGATGGTCACTGTGACCTGCTCCAAACGTTTTGTGGTTACATCGAGGACCGTGAAGCCTGTTTCTGTGGACAGACAGGACGTCCTGTAGCTGCTACTTGGGTTTGTGATTCACTTTAAATCATGTACATGTTTAAGTTGCTGCGTAAAATTAATCTCCACTACTTTAGTCTGAATTCAGATGATGTAATGAGAACGGCAGCCTGTTAATGGCTCCGATCCATATGTACTCCAGATTAAATGAATTACAGCAAATCTGTACTAATATATCCATGATACTCAGGCTAACATTGAGCAGTTTTGTTGTTGTTGTTTTTTATAACCACTAAGAGGTCAAAGCTCAAAAAATAGCACATGAAGTGTGAGCTAATGTCTGCCCGAGAAAAAAAAAAAGATTGCTTTTGATTCAAAATTAGTGTCATACTCATCGCCCTGAATGCAGTTTAAGTAGAATATGCTGTAATAACATGACTATTGATAACTATTGAACTCTTAACGATTCATTTTCAGCACTATGAAGCCATGTGTATATGCAGAATGTGTATGTAAATGTATTGTACACTTGATCTGTACAGGGGAGCTTGTTCTCATGATGTCTGGAGGAAAGGGATATACTGCTATATTAGCCGTTGAAGACTAGAACGCTTGTTTTCTCTAAAAGAGTACTGAGAGTAAGATGTATACATTTTTAAAACACTATTTTCATTTGCTTTTTGATTTCTGAGAACTGAATGTAATCATTTGTGAGCAACATGATTTGGTAACTCGGTTTTAGAGAGTAACATGAATTGTTTAGCACCATATTAAAATCATTGTTTATTTATGTTGGAGTACATTGTCAAAGAAGCTTTTGCAAAAATACAGTTTGTTGATGGAACGTTCGTGTGTAATCATGTTCATGTAAGTAAAGCAGATCCGGAGTTGATTTGAGGATAACACTTCTTCCTGTCCTAGGGTTTTTCATTGGTTTTCTGGTGGTCGGTCTGAAGTTTGCTTATTTTTGACAGATCGGCAAACGAGACATTCGCCGAACCCCTTTTTGCTGGTTTTGCCTGTAAATTCATCACAAGATGGCCAAGTCAGAATCTCGCTACGATTGCACTTTTGGAGGAATGCGATTGGCTGTGGTTTGTTCCATGCTGACCAATGAAAATGCAACAGACCTGAGACTCATGAGGCTTCCAGCCAATCATGTAGAGGATCTGAAATGTAGCTGGAACTGAACCGTCTTCATTGCCATACATCTCTAGAAGAAATCAAATTAAGAGAATAACACAATTTCTAGGATCGTCAGGTAAACAAAACAAATTTTAGTGTCTCTACATCAGTGTTTTTTTGACAATGTTTTTTCTATGCAATATGTTTTAGAGATTGACAAAATTATATAAATATACATTATATTCATAATAAAATTTCTGTGACTTTTTCAGGTCTAGAAATCACACTCATCAATCAATATCTCATACTGTATATCTAGGTTATGCAAGATCATGAAAACCCTGATTCTTGAATTAAAGGAACTAATTATGAAATACGATTTCATCTTACATCTTGATTTTTAATTGTTTTAGCTGATATCAAACCTTTTGTCTTATTTTAAATAATTTTAAGCCATCTTGCGGCCCTCTGGTTGAGAATCACTGTTCTACATAAAAGTATTCTTGTAGAAAAAAAAAATCAATACTACTGAAATTTACATGGCCATAACCTTAATTTTAAACAAACAAGTATTTAATTAAAATGTAATATCAGAGGTCCTGGACTGCATTGAAGTACATGATTTAAATACATAAGTTAAATTTTAGCGTAACCACTGTTCCACATATAATTATTGTTGTCGAAAGTATAAATATGTAATAAAATAAATACAATGGAAATTTAAAATGTTCAATCCTCCAAGCGTTCGATGCAGTTCCCAGTTTGCGGTCTCACCTTTATAAATGGCAGCTGCTGCCAGTATAGTGTCTCTGTGTAGGAGTGACTTCCTGTTCCACGCACAGTTGCTTTCACCCATACCTGAAGTACATGAATAAACTAAACACATTCTCCTTTTCATAATATAAGACACCAAATTTAAAGGGATACTCCACCCCAAAATGAAAGTTTTGTCATTAATCACTTACCCCCATGTCGTTCCAAACCCGTAAAAGCTTTGTTCGTCTTCGGAACACAATTTAAGATATTTTGGATGAAAACCGGGAGGCTTGTGACTGTCCCATTGAAGTAAATAACACTGTCAAGGCCCAGAAAAGTATGAAAGACATCGTCAGAATAGTCCATCTGCCATCAGTGGTTCAACCGTAGCGTTATGAAGCGACGAGAATACTTTTTGTACACGAAGAAAACAAAAATAACGACTTTATTCAACAATTCGTCTCAATTTCTCGTAATATTATACATTTTGAGTTTTTAATTCTGAGGTTTTGCATAGTTGTGGTTCTCATAGTAATACAGATATAAAAAAAAAACAATCTGTATTCAAGTTAAAAATATTTTTTTATTATCATAAAGAGAAGTAGCATAAATATATAAAAAAACTAGTACAACAATACTGCCATGATGGATAAATTCTTTAAAATTTAAATAAAATATTATTGTTGCCATGAAAATAATATCATAATGGAAAAAAATACTATGAATACAAAAATAGGCTTTTTTTTCTTTATACTTTGAGGTGAAATATGACCTGGATTCATTCAGACACTAATGAACTCGCTCAGGAAAGTTTGAAATCAAGAGCAGGAACGGTAGAAATAATAGGAAGAAAAGAATCCAAAGTAGATGTAAATAATTTAGTTGTGCCTTGTTGGCATTGAGCTTTAAACACTTCAAAGAATAGGAAATCTGGACTTAATCTGACAACAGATGGTCACTGTGACCTGCTCCAAACGTTTTGTGGTTACATCGAGGACCGTGAAGCCTGTTTCTGTGGACAGACAGGACGTCCTGTAGCTGCTACTTGGGTTTGTGATTCACTTTAAATCATGTACATGTTTAAGTTGCTGCGTAAAATTAATCTCCACTACTTTAGTCTGAATTCAGATGATGTAATGAGAACGGCAGCCTGTTAATGGCTCCGATCCATATGTACTCCAGATTAAATGAATTACAGCAAATCTGTACTAATATATCCATGATACTCAGGCTAACATTGAGCAGTTTTGTTGTTGTTGTTTTTTATAACCACTAAGAGGTCAAAGCTCAAAAAATAGCACATGAAGTGTGAGCTAATGTCTTCCCGAGAAAAAAAAAAAGATTGCTTTTGATTCAAAATTAGTGTCATACTCATCGCCCTGAATGCAGTTTAAGTAGAATATGCTGTAATAACATGACTATTGATAACTATTGAACTCTTAACGATTCATTTTCAGCACTATGAAGCCATGTGTATATGCAGAATGTGTATGTAAATGTATTGTACACTTGATCTGTACAGGGGAGCTTGTTCTCATGATGTCTGGAGGAAAGGGATATACTGCTATATTAGCCGTTGAAGACTAGAACGCTTGTTTTCTCTAAAAGAGTACTGAGAGTAAGATGTATACATTTTTAAAACACTATTTTCATTTGCTTTTTGATTTCTGAGAACTGAATGTAATCATTTGTGAGCAACATGATTTGGTAACTCGGTTTTAGAGAGTAACATGAATTGTTTAGCACCATATTAAAATCATTGTTTATTTATGTTGGAGTACATTGTCAAAGAAGCTTTTGCAAAAATACAGTTTGTTGATGGAACGTTCGTGTGTAATCATGTTCATGTAAGTAAAGCAGATCCGGAGTTGATTTGAGGATAACACTTCTTCCTGTCCTAGGGTTTTTCATTGGTTTTCTGGTGGTCGGTCTGAAGTTTGCTTATTTTTGACAGATCGGCAAACGAGACATTCGCCGAACCCCTTTTTGCTGGTTTTGCCTGTAAATTCATCACAAGATGGCCAAGTCAGAATCTCGCTACGATTGCACTTTTGGAGGAATGCGATTGGCTGTGGTTTGTTCCATGCTGACCAATGAAAATGCAACAGACCTGAGACTCATGAGGCTTCCAGCCAATCATGTAGAGGATCTGAAATGTAGCTGGAACTGAACCGTCTTCATTGCCATACATCTCTAGAAGAAATCAAATTAAGAGAATAACACAATTTCTAGGATCGTCAGGTAAACAAAACAAATTTTAGTGTCTCTACATCAGTGTTTTTTTGACAATGTTTTTTCTATGCAATATGTTTTAGAGATTGACAAAATTATATAAATATACATTATATTCATAATAAAATTTCTGTGACTTTTTCAGGTCTAGAAATCACACTCATCAATCAATATCTCATACTGTATATCTAGGTTATGCAAGATCATGAAAACCCTGATTCTTGAATTAAAGGAACTAATTATGAAATACGATTTCATCTTACATCTTGATTTTTAATTGTTTTAGCTGATATCAAACCTTTTGTCTTATTTTAAATAATTTTAAGCCATCTTGCGGCCCTCTGGTTGAGAATCACTGTTCTACATAAAAGTATTCTTGTAGAAAAAAAAAATCAATACTGCTGAAATTTACATGGCCATAACCTTAATTTTAAACAAACAAGTATTTAATTAAAATGTAATATCAGAGGTCCTGGACTGCATTGAAGTACATGATTTAAATACATAAGTTAAATTTTAGCGTAACCACTGTTCCACATATAATTATTGTTGTCGAAAGTATAAATATGTAATAAAATAAATACAATGGAAATTTAAAATGTTCAATCCTCCAAGCGTTCGATGCAGTTCCCAGTTTGCGGTCTCACCTTTATAAATGGCAGCTGCTGCCAGTATAGTGTCTCTGTGTAGGAGTGACTTCCTGTTCCACGCACAGTTGCTTTCACCCATACCTGAAGTACATGAATAAACTAAACACATTCTCCTTTTCATAACATAAGACACCAAATTTAAAGGGATACTCCACCCCAAAATGAAAATTTTGTCATTAATCACTTACCCCCATGTCGTTCCAAACCCGTAAACGCTTCGTTCGTCTTCGGAACACAATTTAAGATATTTTGGATGAAAACCGGGAGGCTTGTGACTGTCCCATTGACTGCCAAGTAAATAACACTGTCAAGGCCCAGAAAAGTATGAAAGACATCGTCAAAATAGTCCATCTGCCATCAGTGGGTAGCGTTATGAAGCGACGAGAATACTTTTTGTACACGAAGAAAACAAAAATAACGACTTTATTCAACAATTCGTCGTCTCTGTGTCTCTCTGCATCACCATTTTGGAGAATATTTGCTGAACGAAAGCAACGTATGCTATTCTGTGTCAGCCGCGCACAGAATTGAGCGATGACGAATTGTTGAATAAAGTCGTTATTTTTGTTTTCTTCGCATACAAAAAGTATTCTCGTCGCTTCATAACGTTATGGTTGAAACTACTTTTCTGGGTCTTGACAGTGTAGTTTACAGTCACAAGCCTTCCGGTTTTCATCCAAAATATCTTAAATTGTGTTCCGAAGACGAACGAAGCTTTTAGGGGTTTGGAACGACATGGGGGTAAGTGATTAATGACAAAATTTTCATTTTGGGGTGGAGTAACCCTTTAAAGAGTTTACCTTGTAAGTCACTCATGACCTCCAGCATACCAGGATAATGGACCTGAACTTCATCAATGTCCTGAATGACAACACAATAACGCCCCAGTGTAGTCACACATAATTCAACTCAAAACAGATCTGCAGATTATGTAGTTGAAACAGCGTAATCAAACGTTGAAATATTCATACCACAGTGAGCATTTTGAAGCCGGCCTGTCCCAGCAGGTTGCCCAGGTCAGTGACGGCTGTGTAGGGTGAGATATGGGGTGCAAAGCCACCCTCCCGCTCTAGCTCGGCTAACTGCAGAGAACATCGCAGCTCATAGAGTGTCTCACCGCCGACCATTGCTCCAATGAACACGCAATCCGGCTTCAACACCTGGTGGATCTGAATCACAAAAACAGGGTTTTTTGTATTATTTATAATGTGCGACAGGACTGCACACTTGGTTTGATCCTCATACCTGTCTCAAAGCTCCAGGAAGGTCATTGATCCAGTGCAGACTGAGGAGACAAATACAGCTTTATAAATGACAGTTCATTCTTTAAATTTCCCATCATGCACTGGGGCAGTACTGTACCTCAGGCTGCTAAGCACTAGGTCAAACGTGTTTTCTTTAAATGGCAAAAACTCCTCATCTGCCAAAACACACTGAGTAGGCATCTCACATTTCTTCCTATTTCTCTAAAAAACAAGGACGAGAAAGAAGTTTCAAAAAGTTTCACTAAGACTGCATTTGTCTGATCAGAAATGCAGCAAAAAACATAATTCTGTGAACTTTTATTACAATTTAAAATATTCTATTTGCATATATTTTAAAGTGTAATTTATATGGTAAAAACTGAATTTTCACATGATCCTTCAGAAATCACTCTAATATGTTGTTTTGCTGCTCAAGAGATATTTCTTGTTCTTAGCAATGTAAAAAAAAAAGAACATTTTATTGTTGTTTTATCGTTGTATCAATGTTGAAAACAGTTGTGCGGCTCAATATTTTTGTGGAGACCGTATTGCAAGTTCAGCAAAAAAGAACAGCATTTATTTGAAATAGAAATCTTTTGTAACATTAGAAATGTCTTCAGTGCCACTTTTTCTCAATTTAATGCATTCTTGGGCAAAAAAAGTATTCATTTCTTTAAAATAAAAAAATAAGTCTTACTGACCCCAAAGGTTTGAATGGGCAAATCTATAGCCGTTTATAAAATGTAAGGTTTATGTTGCAGCTGTGCATTAGTAAAATAAAGACATGTTAAGTCTCTTACCAGGGAAGAGTCTGAAATGTCTGTTAAAAAGAGACGTTCGACAATGTCCTGAGAAGAGAGAGAATTAGTGTAACTTAAAGGAATAATTTACTTTCTTCTGCAGAACACAAAAACAGATGTTTCAAAGAATGTTCACACTGCTCTTTTTCATAGTCAAAGTACATGCTGTCAAGCTTCTAGTGTTTGAATATGGAAAAAAAAAAAACCAGAAAAATATAGGGGAAAAAAGAGCTTGACAGCCTTAGTCTCCTTTCACTTAATGTGAACATTCATCAAAAATACCTCGTTATGTATCACAACATCATGAATGTAAGTACCTAAAGGTAGATTTTCTTAAGGGTGCTATTCACAGGAATGTAACGAACAGTTCTACCTTACTCAAATGCTCCGCGATGTGACTCCTCCCACATCCTACATCCAGAGCCAGAGGGAAAGTCCTGCAATGACATTCAGCGATCAAAAATGACAATTTTGTTATTATTTACTCACCCTCACGCTACTCAAAACCCACATGACTGTATTTATTCTTGTGAAACCAAACAGGATATATTATTCAGGATGCCAAAATTGTTGTTACATTGAAAGCGGATGGGGACTGGAGTTGTTGAGCTGTCAAAACTCTAGCACTCTCTATTCTAATTCTATTCTTTAAAAAAAACGTGCCCCTATTAGACTTGCACTTAAAAAAAACTAACACTAGCTTCTCTATTCTTTTTGTATTCTATCTGTTTGTTTTCTTTTTATTTATTATACAATTAACAAAAAGCCAAAAAAAAGGCCTCTAACACTAGCTTGCTCTATTCTTTTTCTATTCTGTCGGTTTTCTTTTTATTTATTACATAATTAAAAAAAAAAAAAACTTGCTACATGTACTGCGTTAAGCTAACTGAGACTTGTTATTGTGTTAGTGAGGCCAGCAGGGGGTGCTCACCCTGTGGTCTGTGTGGGTCCTAATGCCCCATTATATTGACGGGGACACTATACTGACAAAAAGCACCGTCTCTCGGATGAGACGTTAAACCGAGGTTCCCACATCCTACATCCAGAGCCAGAGGGAAAGTCCTGCAATGACATTCAGGGATCAAAAATGACAATTTTGTTATTATTTACTCACCCTCACGTTACTCATAACCCACATGACTGTATTTATTCTTGTGAAAACAAGCAGGATATATTATTCAGGATGCCAAAGTTGCTGTTACATTGAAAGCGGATGGGGACTGGAGTTGTTGAGCTCTCAAAACCCTAGCACTCTCTATTCTAATTCTATTCTTTTAAAAAAAACATGCCCCTTTTAGACTTGCACTTAAAAAAACCTAACTAACTAGCTTCTCTATTCTTTTTGTATTCTATCTGTTTGTTTTCTTTTTATTTATTATACAATTAACAAAAAGCCAAAAAAAAGGCCTCTAACACTAGCTTGCTCTACTCTTTTTCTATCTGTTTTCTTTTTATTTATTATATAATTAAATTTAAAAAACCTAGCTACGTGTACTGCGTTAAGCTAACTGAGACTTGTTATTGTGTTAGTGAGGCCAGCAGGGGGTGCTCACCCTGTGGTCTGTGTGGGTCCTAATGCCCCATTATATTGACGGGGACACTATACTGACAAAAAGCACCGTCTCTCGGATGAGACGTTAAACCGAGGTCCTGACTCTCTGTGGTCATTAAAAATCCAAGGATGTCCTTCGAAAAAGAGTAGGGGTGTAACCCCAGCATCCTGGCCAAATTCGCCCATTGGCCTCTGACCATCATGGCCTCCTAACCATCCCCATATCTGCTGATTGGCTTCATCACTCTGTCTCCTCTCCACCAGTAAGCGTTCTGGCGCAATATGGCTGCCGTCACATCATCTAGGTGGATGCTGCACACTGGTGGTGGTTGAGGAGATTCCCCCCTTCTATGTAAAGCGCACTGAGTGCCCAGAACAGCGCTATATAAATGTAAGGAATTATTATTATTATAGCACTTGCATATCATTGCTCTTTTGCTGATTTTGATTGCTTCCATTGTCCTCATTTGTAAGTCGCTTTGGATAAAAGAATCTGCTAAATGATTAAATGAAAATGTAAAATGCAAAAAAAAAAAACGTACATTTGTCTGTTCATTACACTTATCTATCAAATGACTTCAGAAGACTTGAAATATAGCACACAAGTAGTATGGACTACTTTCATGATGCTCTTTCGGAGCTCAACAGCCCCAGTCCCCATTCACTTCTATTGTATGATAAACAGTAGTGCTGTCAAGTGATTAATCGCGATGAATCACATCCAAAATAAAAGTTTTTGTTTACATAATATATGTATGTGTACTGTGTATATTTATTATGTATATATAAATACACACACACATACAGTATATATTTTGAAAATATTTACATATATATATATATATATATATATATATATATATATAATATAATATATAAACAACATTTTTCTTAAATATATACATGCATGTGTTTGCATTTATATATACATAATAAATAGACACAGTACACACACATATATTATGCAAACAAAAACTTTTATTTTGGAAACGATTAATCGCGATTAATCGTTTGACAGCACTAGTAAACGGCAGACTGGACATTCTGCTTGATATCTGCTTTTCTGCTCCACAAAACAAAATAAAGTCATACAGGGTTGAAGCGACAAGCCAGTGAGTAAAACGATGTTTTTGCCTGAACTATTTCTTTAAGAACTAATGTCAGGATGTTTAAAAGGTATGTTATTAAGCGGGCAGTGACCTTGAGACATCATAAGCTCTGTCTGCTAATCTGCTCCCCACCTGCAAACACAACGAAAGCAGAAGTTCATTCACACAGCTTCAGTTCTCCGAGAAACAGACGCCCATCACACGGTAATACACCACCTCACCTCGTCTCGGAGGTAATCGTATTTGTCGCTGTCTAGTAAAGATGAAGCCCATTGCTTCTGCCTACGCTTCATGCTCCTGTCAAACACGTTCATAGCGCCTCCCCGAGAGGAGAGACACCTCCAGCCCCTCCACAGACATCGCAGAGCCCGGAGGCTTTTCACAGTGAGACTCATGCTTCCGTGCTAATTCTCATTTTCTCTGGCTGACACGACTCTTTCAAAGACAGTCCTCTGCGTGCCTCTAAACGGAGGAGGGGAGCTCAGCTCTGCGGCACACAACAGAGACTGTGTCTGAGGTAACACCTGGCCTGGATCAGTCCCGGACACTGGAACATGGACTGGAGTCAGTTTGAAGTTCAGCCAAACTTTCAAACCAGGGCCGTCCCAGAAAATTCTCAATGGGGGGCATTTGGTTTTCATAAGGGGGCACACTTGTTTATGATCTCAGAAACAGACATTCACCAAAACAATAACGACTTGTATTATAACTTAAATTGCTCAAGTTCTATATTAAAACAGATTTAAAAAGATAGTTCAACCAACAACAATTCATAAAAAAAAAAAATCATTATACTTAGGTTTCAGGTTGCTACAGCGTGTTTTTGCAGCGTTTAGCAATCTGTCGACTTTTGTGTTGGATGCTATATTATGACTTTTATGTATTTATGTTAGAATCCAGTCACCGCTCAAATCGCCGGAGTTTTATTCTGCACGCTCGCGAATCCTTTCTTTATAACAGTGTAGAAACTTTTTTCTATTCTATTCTATTCTATTCTATTCTATTCTATTCTATTCTATTCTATTCTGTTATATTCTGTTCTATTCTGTTCTATTCTATTCTGTTCTATTCTGTTCTATTCTATTCTGTTCTGTTCTATTCTATTCTGTTCTGTTCTGTTCTATTCTATTCTATTCTATTATGTTCTATTCTATTCTGTTCTATTCTGTTCTATTCTGTTCTGTTCTGTTCTATTCTATTATGTTCTATTCTGTTCTATTCTATTCTGTTCTATTCTGTTCTATTCTGTTCTATTCTATTCTATTCTGTTCTATTCTGCAAAACAACATTCAATGAGTCGGAAAGGGGGGGGAAGTCGAAATAAATACAGAACAATTGACATATACAACATATAAAATGTGGCTTTAGTTTGTGTTAAAGGTAAGTAATAGTAAAAAGAATAATAAATGAAATAATAAATTATAAGCAGTAAAATTGCTAGTAAATGAGTGATTATTAAAACAGGGGTTGCAGTCACATTTTGTGATATAAAACTGATGAATAATGAAACTAAAGCATTTCTTATCTGTAAGCTTATATTATATTATATTACTGTAAGTCTGTTTATATTTCCAGCAACAAACTCACAATAGCCTCAGATTAGTGTTTGGCATCAATTATAGTTTTACTCATATTTTGATTTCCTTTTTATTTTATATGAAATTTTTCATTTGAATTGTTTTGAAAAGTTTTAGTAATTTTGTTGTTTTGCCATTATTATTATCATTTTTTAATGTCTAATTCGTTTTTTTGTTTTAGTTTGAGCTATTCTAATGCATAATGAGATAATGAGAAATGTTGACTGAGATAAAATAAAAATGATTTTTATTAAAAACTAAAAGTTCTATAGAATATTTATATTCTTTGCTCTTCTGTGTCTATGTGTTATGTATATATCGTTTTTAGTTTTGCGAATCTACACGGAATGTCAAAGTGAAAGGAAACGCTCGTCTGGTGTGTTTTGAGCCCTTCGTCTCGCCGTATGCAAAATAAAAAGGGCGTGGCTTCCAAGATGTAACGGAAGTAGTAAAGCATCACGGGAAAACACGTGTGTGGAGCTGTGGGCAGTAAAATCGCACGAAAACCCAGTCGGTCAGTATTGGCCTTTATATATGTTTTTATTTACTGCGCAGTCAGTTTTGTCCTCAATTCTTGGGGTTTTCATAAATTGCAAAGATGTTTTGTCAGTTAACGACTTGCACAGTGGTTTAGTTATTTGTCATTACAGTGTGTAGAATGTGTGCTGTGCGAATTACAGGCAGACATTGTAAACAAATAATTACAGAAGATCACAAAATTAGCATACAGCCAAATGACAAGTAAACATTCTAAACTGTAATTTGACAACATGCCTCCGCTTTTGAATGAACTTAAATCGTGGTAATACTGAAATATAAAGTTTGATAACAAGCACCACTCTACCTTTTTCATAATCTATCAGTGTCTTCTGTGATTTAAGAGCGCTTGTTGAAATCTGATTTAGTTGGGCTCGAGTGTGTTCTATACAGATGGAAACATGAACCACATTATTTTGGGTTATCTGTAAGAAATGTTTCACTTCGTTTAATGAATATACACTTGGTTTCACATGTACTTGAAATGCACCTCTTCTGTGTTTTTCACAGGTTGATGCTTACATCAGGCTCTTCCAAATAATCACCATGGCCTCCAAAAACACTGTAAGCGGTGACGACCGCTTCTCGAAGGTCCAGAAGGACCCTCGCTTCTGGGAGATGCCCAGCAGAGAGCGCAAAGTCAAAATCGACAAGCGTTTCAAGTCCATGTTCCACGACGAACGCTTTAAACTGAAGTATACAGTCGATAAACGCGGCCGACCCGTCAACCAGACGTCCACCGAGGACCTCAAGCGCTTCTACAAGCTCTCTGACTCCGAGCAGTCAGACGAAGAAGAGGAGAACGAGCAGACGGAAAAGCCCAAGAAGGAACAGAAAGTGAAAAAGGCTGATGAGGAACCTCAGGTTGAGGATGAAGAAGAGAGCGATGAATCTGAAGAGGAGGAAGAAGCCGAGAAGATCCCGAAGACAAAAGAAGCTAAGAAAACGAAAGAGCCGCTGGTAAAGGGAGTGAGAGTGTTTGAAGAAGGTACTGCATTACCTTTATTTTATGTAAGTGACCCTGGAGCACAAAACCGGTCAAAATGATAGATTTTTCTTTTATGCCAAAAATCATTAGGATATTGAGTAAAGAGTAAAAATCATGTTCCATGAAGATATTTTGTAAATTCCCTATCGTAAATATATCAAAACTTAATTTTTGATTAGTAATATGCATTGCTAAGAACTTCATTTGGACAACTTTAAAGTCGATTTTTTTTCAATATTTTGATTTACGACTTTGCTCAGATTTTCAAATTGTTGCATCTCGGTCAAATATTGTCCAATCCTAACAAACATTACATCAATGGAAAACTTATATAATACATACATACAAAAAATAGACCCTTATGACTGGTTTTGTAGTCCAGGCTCACATGATATTCATTATTAATCTGAGTAATGTATCTGATTGTTTTGTTTTGAAATGGATCTTCTGAAGACAATACGAGTGGTGTTCATTTATGTTATTTATGGCTTGATGCCGTTTGTATTGTTTTTAACAGATGAGGACGAGGAATCTGGTGTTGAAGAGGATGAGGAGGAGGAGGCTGATGAAGATGACGAGAGTGAGTCAGGTGATGACAGCGACAATGGACCCGATCTGGCTCGAGGGAAGGGTAACATCGAGACCAGCTCTGATGAAGAAGATGATGATGATGATGATGAGCTGGAGGAATGTCTGCGCCATGAGGAAGAGGAGATTGAGCATGACTGGGGAGAGATGTGGAAAGATGCTCCACGCAGTGACAACGTGAGATTCATCCCAATGCTTTATTAATCATAAACTGCTGTTCAGAAGTCAAATGTTTGAAAGAAGACTCTTACGCTCACCAAAGCTGCATTTCTTTGATCAAAAACACAGTAAAACTGTAATATTGTGACATTTTAAATATTTTGTATTTGAATATATTTTAAAATGTAATTTATTCCTGTGATGCAAATCTGAATGAGGGCTGTGCCTGCCTGTGGTGAAGAGATTGTGAATAAAAAAATATATATACCGTATTGACCCGAATATAAGACGATGTTTTTTTCTTGGAAGTACATCTGAAAAAACGCTGTCGTCTTATATTCAGGGTCTAGACTTTGACGTGTCAATAATACACCCACAACAATAGGTGGCGCCAAATACGCATAAAACGAGTGTGCCATGAAATACGTAATGCAATGCGTGTTGTAAAGATCGCGAGTAAAAACAAAAGAGAAAGAAAAGCTTATTTTGCTCATTGCGCCCTCCTGTGGCCTCGGGAGACAAGCCAAATGTTTAACCTATTTAATCTGCATATAAAACATTAGAAATTAGATATTTGTTTAATTTTTATTGTTGTGTAGTGTTGCTGTGTTGCATGCTACATTGATAGCTAGTTTAAAATTTTTATTTTCATAAAAATGTTTTGAAAGAAATTAATGTTGTTATTCAGGAAGAATGCAGTTAATTGTTCAAAAGTGACAGTGATTTCTGTCTCAAATAAATGCTCTTCTTTCCATTCATGAAAAAGAATCATTAAACAATTCTCACAAAAATATTAAGCAGCACAACTGTTTTCAGCATTGATAATAATCAGAAATGTATCTTGAGCAGCAAATCAGCATATTAGAATGATTTCTGAAGGATCATGTGACACTGAAGACTGGAGTAATGATGCTGAAAATTCAGCTTTGATCGCTGCAATAAATTACATTTTAAAATATATTCAAACAGAAAATAGTATTATTTTCCACGATATTGCTGTTTTTAATGTGTTTTTGATCAAATACTGTAAATGCAGCCACCTTGGTGAGCAGAAGAGACTTCTTTCAAAACATTAAAAAATCTTACCTACCTGTATCTCAGTATTTTTCAGCCTTTTGACAATATTTAATGTCTTCTATCTCTGAATGGTTTTCAAGGATCATGTTATTTCTTTTGTTTCGATCGGAGGAAGCATGGTTTTAACCAGTTAAGGTCTTCCCTGTGTTTTCAGGGTCTACCGAGAGAAGGTGCGAGACTATCAGTTCAAGCGTCTGAGGTATTACTACGCCGTGGTGGAGTGCGACTCCATCGAAACAGCAGCAAAGATTTACGAGGAGTGTGATGGCTACGAGTATGAGAGCAGCTGCTCGATGATCGACCTGCGGTGAGTGCCTCACATTCACAGAGACATTCGATTGAAATGTTTGAACTGAAACCATCAAATGTTAACCATCTTAACATTTCTAAGAACTTGGCGCTTGCATATTGTTTTAAAGATGGCTGATTTCTCTTAATGTGACATTGGCTCATGTTTGTGGCTCTGGGCGTTTTGCAGGTTCATCCCTGACGACGTGACGTTTGACGACGAGCCGAAAGACAGAGCCACTGATGTGGATTACAGTTCCTACAAGCCCAAACTCTTCACATCGACAGCCACCACCACAGCCAAGGTCTGTCACGCTGCATCCTACATCAAGTCTGAGCTGTTGCACTCCATCTACAATAATGCATGACTTGGATCTGCTGCTTGTCTTTAGGTCGAGCTGACGTGGGATGAAACGGATCACGACCGGGTCACGGCTCTCTGCAGGAAGTTCAATAAGGACGACCTGTTGGACATGGACTTCAAGGCTTACCTGGCCTCCTCCAGTGAGGAAGAGGAGGATGAGGAAGAGGCAGAGCAACAGGCAGAAGGTTAGTGATGACTGAATCATCTATCAACATGATTCTGAACCGGTAATGGTACGTTTTCATCCATCAGAAATGTTGTTGTGTTGAATTGAATGTTCTCTCAGCTGAGCCTCTTCCTGAGGAGAAAAAGAGCAGTAAAGAGAAGAAGAGCACAGAGCAGATCGCTAAATACAGAGAACTACTGAAGAGCTATCAGGACAAAGACAAGGAGAAGGATGACAGCATGGATATGGAAGTCACATGGATACCAGGTATCAGAGTGTTCAATTTAGTTATATTTCATAGATTATTCATTCTAAACATTTTAATATAAATATTAATATTATTAATTCATATTAATTTTGTTTTAATGTTTGTTTTGTTTGTTTTATTTTTGAATTGTTTAATGTTTTATTTTATATTTAAAAGTAACATTGCATATTACTGTTAAGAATATAATAATAATATGCATTTTTATTCTGTAAATATATTAAACATATAATAAAAAATAAATATTATGTATTATATATATATATATATATAAAATTGTAAATTTTATTTATTCATAAAATGTCTATTTTTTATATTTATATTAGATATTTATTATTTTATATAATATACATTCAGTAAATATTATATAAAAATGTATAATAAAAAATTAAAAACTGCAGTTATGTAAGATAGATTACTTTTTGATATAAACAGTATATATAAATACATATTTTAATTTGATTTATTAATTTAAATATATTTATAAAATGATTATATATTTAAAAATATATTTTTGTTTTATTAGTAATATTTTGTATTAATAAATAAATATATATAAAATAGTAAATATAAACTATATAATATTAAATAAAATTAGGTACATTATATTAACGCATTTTTTATTAGTTTATTCATTTAATTGCTTTTTAGGACTGAAGGAAACGACTGAGAAGCTTGTGAAGAAGAAAATGGAGGGCAAAGATCAGCTGACTCCGTGGGAGCAGTACCTGCAGAAGAGAAAGGAGAAAAAGAAAGAGAAGAGGAAAGGCATCAATAATTGCTATTGTAATTTTAGTGCTGTTCTGTAAAAAATTTTAAAATACTATTTATTTTACAGCAAAGTAGTATTATTAGTAGTTTTGTTTTTTTATTTAATATTTCATTACATTTTTGTAATTTAACAGAATAAACATTCTATTATTTCATCATCATCACTATTATTAATACCTAGTAGTAAGTTATTTTTTTAAAACAACTAAAAATGTAGAAATAAAAACGAAGGTTTTTAATTATTAGATGCTGCAAGTCGAAGAGATTCTTAGTCTAAAGTGTAACTTTTATTAGATTTTTTCAATTTGCCGATTTAATTTTGAGTCCATACTTTGATTCTATTTAGAACTTTTAGAGTACACAACATACACATATGTAAAATTTAGCTCGATGTGAAGAAATGGTCTCAACTTCTACGTACAAGAGTGACAAAGTCACGTTTGTAGGATATATTTTCAAATAGATGTCGCAATTCCCTTTTTCTGCCGTGGCAAAAAACGATTTCTATTGATTTAAAGTAAATCAATTCTGCATTCTGGGATTCCCCTCACTGCAAAAAATATATCATTCTTCAAAATCAGTGAGCAATTTTCAATTTTGCCTGAAGTGTCAAATATGCGCCCTCAAGAAGAGATTAGATTTACTGTAGTTTCAGAGTGTCACTTTTAATGAAAAATAGACACCGAGAAGCTGGAGTTAAAATTAGCTTTATTCATGTTGACACAAACGCCGCTCACACATTCAAACAAGTCTGTTGGCACTTTCACAGGCACCTCATTTTCTACATAACAGAAGAAACGGGCTTCCTCACTCATGCCATATATCAAAATACAGCTGTGAATGAATGAAAACCTCTTACACTTACAATTCCAGTGAATACGACCAGTGCTCAGAGCATGTAAAAACATCTCGACTCGTGGTCCAGGAATTTAGTGTACATGTAAGAACCGCTTGGGTAGTTCACATCATTAGACCCAATCCAGAAAAGGCACAAATTACAGAGTAATGTCAATAACACAAGGTTTGATTTGACCAAATAAAGCGGAACCCCAGTCCAGATCACAAGCATTTCAAAAGTAAAACCAACGGAATGAAATGACTAGATTGTGCCACAGTGTTACTAAAAAACAGCTACTTTATGAGAAATAGTGCAATTAAGGTTTGACATGGACATACACATGTAAGAGCTGGAGTGTTGTGTAGTGTTTACATCTACTTTATCACCACAGTATCATTTGTACAATTCCTGAAGCAAATGCAAATGGTGCTTGGCCTCGCCGCCATGCTGTTACAGATGACTGACAGGCCGTTGCTATTGTGATTGCTGGGCGATTTCTTACTGGCCTTAGTAAACAATCCCACTGTCTATGATATTGTGGTCCCTCCTTTAATGACTGATTTTTTTCTCTCCCCATTTTATCGTCTGATTGTTGGAAAAGTGACCGATTAGAATACCTTGAGTTGTCCACCGTAGTTTTAAACTTTGAAGGAATAGTTCAACCAAAAATGAAAATTTGATGACAATATATTCCCCCTCAGGATATCCAAGGCGTAGATGAGTTTGTTCGTTCATCAGAACAGATTTGGAGAAATGTAGCATTACATTACTTGTTCACCAATGCATCCTCTGCAGTGAATGGGTGCCGTCAGAATGAGAGTCCAAACAGCTGATAAAAACATCACAATAATCCACAAGTTCAAAGAAGAAAAAAATCCATCATTGAGGCATTTTTATATATATATATATATATATATATATATATATATATATAAAACTCTCGTTTCTTGCTTAAATACGTGTCCTCTATATAATATCGCTTTCTCCAGAGGAAAAAGTTGTCTTGTCTGAATCGGGAGAGAAATATGCACAGATCAAGCACCGTTTACAAGCAAAAACAGTCCAGGGCTGCGTTTCCCAAAAGCATTGCAAGCCTAAATTGATCGTATCTCCATGAGGCTTACGATGCTTTTGGGAAACGCAGCCCTGAACAGTTCTAAACAAATATGTGGTTGGATGATGTGAGAGGACAACAGGGGACGGCCATTTTTACTGAAGTAAGCGTTATTATGGATTTATTTTTGGCCAGAAGTGACGGTTTAAAGTTAAAACGCCATGATGGATTTGTTTCTCACAAACATGCAGTTTTTTGATTCACAAAATGTTAATAGTTGGACTGGAGTGGTGTGGATTACTGTGATGTTTTTATCAGCTGTTTGGACTCATTCTGACGGCACCCATTCACTGCAGAGGATGTAGTGATGTAATGCTGAATTTCTCCAAATCTGTTCTGATGATCAATCAAACTCATCTATATCTTGGATGGCCTGAGGCCGAGTACATTTTCAGCAAATTTTCATTTTTAGGTCAACTATTCCTTTGAAAAAATCAATGTTGCAGTTTGAGTAATAATAGTAATAGTGATATTATCTTAACCAGCACCACTAGTTCTCCCTCTCCTCATCTTTTCTCTCAAAGTCTTTGTAAAACCCCTCTTAACTTCATGCCGCTTACATACAATGTTGTGTTGCACCAAAATGTTATAAAATATAGGATTACATGAATATTAAGTAGAGAAAATAAGTTTATAGCAAAACGCTTCAGGACAAATTGTGCGTCACGTGTTGAGTAAAAAAATTCTACAAATACTTTAGAGCTCAGTAAAATACGGTTTCATTACGATACGACACGCAAGGCGATACAAATATGATTCTGTAGAATAAATCAAGTGAGTGACTTCACAAATTAGATTAAGATATTAAATCATCTTCCTCACAAGAAACACAACATGTCTGCTGTTAGTCAGAGTAAACATCACGGAATGATTATTTCACTTAAACGCTGTCAGTCACGTGAAAATACAGTAAAATCAGTAATATGGTGAAATATTATTACAATTTAAAGTAACTGTTTTCGATTTGAAAATATTTGGAGATGTAATGTATTCCTGTGATGCAAAGCTGAATTTTCAGCACCATTCCTCCAGTGTCACATGATCCTTCAGAAATCATTCTACTATGTGGATTCGCTGCTCAGGAAGCATTTCTTATTATTACGAATGTTGAAAACAGCTGTGCTGCTGCTTAATAATAATAATTGCTTATTAAACAGATTTTGTTCAGGATTCTTTGATGATTATATAAAACTCTCGTTTCTTGCTTAAATACGTGTCCTCTATATAATATCGCTTTCTCCAGAGGAAAAAGTTGTCTTGTCTGAATCGGGAGAGAAATATGCACAGATCAAGCACCGTTTACAAGCAAAAACAGTCCAGGGCTGCGTTTCCCAAAAGCATTGCAAGCCTAAATTGATCGTATCTCCATGAGGCTTACGATGCTTTTGGGAAACGCAGCCCTGAACAGTTCTAAACAAATATGTGGTTGGATGATGTGAGAGGACAACAGGGGACGGCCATTTTTACTGAAGTAAGCGTTATTATGGATTTATTTTTGGCCAGAAGTGACGGTTTAAAGTTAAAACGCCATGATGGATTTGTTTCTCACAAACATGCAGTTTTTTGATTCACAAAATGTTAATAGTTGGACTGGAGTGGTGTGGATTACTGTGATGTTTTTATCAGCTGTTTGGACTCATTCTGACGGCACCCATTCACTGCAGAGGATGTAGTGATGTAATGCTGAATTTCTCCAAATCTGTTCTGATGATCAATCAAACTCATCTATATCTTGGATGGCCTGAGGCCGAGTACATTTTCAGCAAATTTTCATTTTTAGGTCAACTATTCCTTTGAAAAAATCAATGTTGCAGTTTGAGTAATAATAGTAATAGTGATATTATCTTAACCAGCACCACTAGTTCTCCCTCTCCTCATCTTTTCTCTCAAAGTCTTTGTAAAACCCCTCTTAACTTCATGCCGCTTACATACAATGTTGTGTTGCACCAAAATGTTATAAAATATAGGATTACATGAATATTAAGTAGAGAAAATAAGTTTATAGCAAAACGCTTCAGGACAAATTGTGCGTCACGTGTTGAGTAAAAAAATTCTACAAATACTTTAGAGCTCAGTAAAATACGGTTTCATTACGATACGACACGCAAGGCGATACAAATATGATTCTGTAGAATAAATCAAGTGAGTGACTTCACAAATTAGATTAAGATATTAAATCATCTTCCTCACAAGAAACACAACATGTCTGCTGTTAGTCAGAGTAAACATCACGGAATGATTATTTCACTTAAACGCTGTCAGTCACGTGAAAATACAGTAAAATCAGTAATATGGTGAAATATTATTACAATTTAAAGTAACTGTTTTCGATTTGAAAATATTTGGAGATGTAATGTATTCCTGTGATGCAAAGCTGAATTTTCAGCACCATTCCTCCAGTGTCACATGATCCTTCAGAAATCATTCTACTATGTGGATTCGCTGCTCAGGAAGCATTTCTTATTATTACGAATGTTGAAAACAGCTGTGCTGCTGCTTAATAATAATAATTGCTTATTAAACAGATTTTGTTCAGGATTCTTTGATGATTAGAAGGTTCAAAAGAACAGCATGTATTTGAAATAGAAACCTTTCGTAACATTATATGTCGTTACTGTAACTTGTAATTCATTTAATGGATCCTTGTTGATTAAAAGTATTAATTTATTACTTAAAAATACAGTAGTCAACATTTGAAGTGGATCAAAAAAAGTTGTCTTAATACAAGAACGCATTTTGGTTTTAGGACAACTTTGGCGAAAGGTTTTGATCCACTTCAAATGTTGACTACTGTAGTACTGAACCCAAACTCTTGTATGGTGTAAATTACAGCTCACAAGTTATATAGAACGCTTTAATATTTCAGAACTCTGACCGCCTCAGTCTCCAGTGACTCTGGTTTGAAAACAGCAGCGTGAAATGCATTTGGAAGACAATGAGGGTGAGTAAATTATAACCAAACTTAATTTTTTTTAGGTGCACAAACACTTCTAATATAGTCTATATGGATTGTCAGTAATCTCTAATAATCTTTTTTGCAGCCTTTGTGCAAATTCTGAGCAGCACTTCATTAAGGAACAACAAAC